GGCTGGTGTTTGTGTCATGTATGAAACCAAAAGTCAGTGTAGTTATTCTGACAATGAAACATTTTATGTCAACATGTCACGGTAGGGATTTTAGGCAACATATGTCATGTGAGATATGCAGTGTTGGGATGGTTACTTTTAAATTGTAATAAGTCACAAATAACTGTAATTTCCTAACAAATGTTTTAAACTGGGCAAAGAAGTTGAAAAGTCCTACAAATATGGGCACACTCAAATTTGTCCCAATGGCTTTACTGATCCGCGTTGTCTGGAAATATGACATGAGAAAGCATTCCTGCACGGCAAAAAGGTTGAAGCAAAATAATGAATCTTATATTTTTCATATTAACTTTTTTTTTTTTTTGGGAAAAGAATACCATAAAATTTCTATTAATAGCCTGGGCTACTATTTGCTTAAACCACTGATGTCAACAGGCTTATATCTGGGACAGGCCTTTAATTCCTGTCACACAAAACTGTTGCTCAGCAAAAATCAAGAAATACAATCACATTTATTATTTCAACCAGTGAATGACGTAATTCTTTCTCTCTCTGATGTCTGTCTGTCGGAGCTGCTTAAAATTAATGATTTTTACTGATATATTATCCAAAGCCTAATTTTTAAAGTTATTTTAAGCAGCTCCAACAGACAGACATCAGAGAGAGAAAGAATTACGTTATTCAAGGATTACAGTACCCAGCATACCAACACAACACCACTTTATCCTGCTAAAACAATACTCACAACTTGGATTAATTTTTTATGAAAAACCCTTTCGATTTTTTTGATCCGCAGTAGCAGCAGCAGTAGCCAATCACCTGGTTTTATACAGATCAGATGTTTACTTGAGATAGGACTTCTCATAATGTGTAGCCACACCAGGTTAGAAAAAGGGCCTGGGCGTTTAAATGAGACCAGGCTTTTAATTAAAGTTTTACGGTATATTTGGATGTAACCCCTTTGTAATGAACAAAATGAACAAAATTTTGATTAGCAACAATAATTTAATAACATTTTTTTTTCTCAGTTACTGATTAACCCAAACCATGATGTTTTTTTAAACCTAACCAAGGAGGTTTTTTTGCCCAGATCTAACCGCATCGTTTTGGTGCAACTGTGACTGTTTCATAATGTTAACCACATGTTTAAAACTGCGACTGTTGCCGGTCATATGAGCTCTTCTGTCTTTAACTTGTATGTGCACTTATTTAGAAAACGCCACGGTCATATTCAGAGGTAAGAACATGCAGTTTATGTGGTTGTATGGGCTGCAGGACTTAACAACTAAAACAAGTTTCCCCCAACACTGTTTTGCAAGAGTACCATCCCGCTGCATCCCACAAACACAAACAACCCAGGGCGTTTTTTCCCCCCTCTTTGTGTGGAATTATGATGGTCTCAGCCAGACCTTTCTCCAGTGCTGGCACAACGCGAGATGGAAAGATAGCTGCTTTCAGGTTTCTGGTATCGTGCATGCTCGCTAACTGTCACTGGAACAAAACAGAGCCACCTGTGCCTTCCCCATGACAAGTCAAAATGTCTGCTGTGAGAAAGTCCTACAAAAGATGTTTTTACTCAACAAATAAACCAGGTTGCAGTGAATTTCATGTGTTGCTGCCCTTGAGTTGCTCACCGTAATGACTTCCGCCGGGCAGCAAGTCCTCTTCATCAAGATTGTATTCATTAGTGACCTTGCAGACTGACATGACACTTCCTTTCGCTGACCAATCATACAGCTGGAAATGTGATACGTACAGAGGAAAAATACATGTATCCTACCAAAAGCCCCTGTCAGCACATATCCATATATCCATAACACTACTAATAGAGCTCACATTCAGAGGGCATTTTTCTATTTCTGGCTGTTGGGTGGATACATTTCAGTTGTAGTACATCTCTGTTACACTGTTGTTTGGATCAAACAATATCAACAACATGGCTCAGAAGTATTAATATTAATTATTGGCTTCTATATGACAGATCAGTCTGTCATTGAGTACCTGCACACCCACAGTGATACAGTGGCTTCCCTCAGGCTGTGGACAATAAATGTTGGATTCAAAGGAGCTGACATGTAAATACAATATCATAGAAGACTGTATTGATGGAGAAGAGTGCTGTCAGAGTCATCAAAATGAGGGTTAGGCAGAGGTGCTGCAGGGGTGATCTCAAAGGAGGATGTAGGAAGTGGGAAAATTGATGTGTCCCAAGATCAATACTGGAGAGCATTTGGATCTACAACAGTGTAACTAAATCATCCTGTGGCTGCTGCTGCTGCTTCAGGGGCATCGGCCTCTCCGTCCCTGAGCTGATGATCGGTGTGGTGAAGGTGGAAGTAGCCCAGTCAGGAGGATTGTACAAGATGGAGATCAGGAAAGGCTGAATGCAGATAAAGCCGTTTTTTTTTGTTTTGTTTTTTTGGCAACTTTAGCTGCTTCATCGTCACGTTGTCTTGGATCAATACCCATCAACACTGGTTTTCCTTGAGTGTAAAGGCTAAGTACCTCAATGAGCATCAAACACAATTACAATGCTTCGATGTGCATTAGTGGTTTTGAAGAGGTCTCACCAAATTTAGTATCATCTTGACAAAAAAAAAAAAAATGTAATGCAAGCGGGCAGCACCTAATGGATTCAAACCTCAACATGTTCAGTAGGTTTCCGAAAAACTGCTTCAGACTAACAGTATATCCATCTCGTCAACAGAGGTGCTACATTTACAGTGCAGACCCAGGACACAGAGAGATGAAATCTAAATTCCCATTAAAGGAGGCCAGTGTGAAAACATACAATGCTAAATAGTGCAGCAGTATGACACAGTGACATGTAAAACCTGAGATCAGTGATAATAAAGCCTTTTCATGGTGCACATCCCTCAGTGAAGTGACTTCTCATTGTGGAAGAACAACCTCATCCTTTATTGTTAAACTGCTGCTGCTGATCTGAGCTCAGCTGAGTCGCCCTCTTGTGGTACATAATAATAATGCACTTTATTAATTCACTGATGGGGAGTGTGTTTCCACTTGGATGGTACTCAGTGGTTAACTAGTAAGACACACAAGCATTAGTTTTGCACAAACATAAAGTCACAAAGTTTATCTAAAAAGTGAGACCTTGTACAACCTGTTCAGCAGATATGGGAGTTTAAAAAAAGCAGAGAGGTTAATAGAAAAATAGAAACACCTGTTGTCCCTGCAGACCTTATGGTTTCTTTAGTTGTCGTGTGGTGACCCAATTGTCAGGACAAGTTTTAAGGCTGTACTTTGTGGTGGTCTTGTTTAAGGGCCATGGAAAGGTGTTTCTAATATCTCGCGAGCCTCATTTACATGTGTGGAGAGGAAAAGATATTAGAAACACACGTCAAGATAATTCAACCCAGCACAAAAACGGTACAGACAACAGTCTTTGGCACAGTGTCAACTATTTAAATTAGACTAAGTGATTGGGGGATATACACTATATGGCCAAATGTATGTGGACAGTATAACATTACACTCATAGCTGGTTGTTAAATATGTAACTGGCTGCAGGGATTACCTCCCATTCAGCCGCAGAGGCAACAGTGACATCAACCACTGATACTTGGTGATAAGGCCAGTTCCTTCAAAGCGTACTGGGTGGGGTTGGGATCAGGGATCTCTGCAGACCAGTCAAGTCCTTCCAAACCCAACTGTAAAAACATTTTTTTTCAACAGAGCTGGCTGTCTATATGTGGGGGGACTGTCATCTTGAAACAGGAAAGGATCTTACTGCCACACAGTATTCATGGGATGGCACTCTCAACATTTTATACAAAACAATCTAGATTAATAAAAAGCAGTACAAGTAGAATGCTGAACAGGTTTTGGGGTTAACTGTCCTTCTAACCCTGCAGCATATTGTAGCAAGCTGAGGTTTCTTGCCAGGGAAGGCAGCAGAGAGACTGAGCTCTGAACTAGAAACGCTTTTTGTTAACAGTAATAAACACTACTTATGACAATTTGAAATCTACACAGGCAGGAGGTCACTAATTCCATGCACAACTTAACCCATGGTGCAATATGTCACAACATTAACTGTAACAACTTTTGTTAGATGCATGAACACAATCACAGCAGAATATGTATCATGTGATTGATTTAACACATTTTCCTTCGGCTCATGGCCGTAAAAAACATAGTCGCACGGCATGCTGGGAAGCTCCCCTATTCAGCTCTGGACACACCACAATATACTGTACTACATCCATCAACCGCATCACCACGCAGAAGGAAGCATGCATCTTCAGCTAGCTCACCTAGCACCACTGAGCTAGCTAACATTACAGCTCAGCCGATGAGGACGCCATTTGTTGTTGGGTGTACTTCGGTAGAAAGAAAATAGTTCCCACATGAAACTGCTCACAACAAGGTTTGTGGATTATCTTGAGTAAGGGGGTCATGATTTCTGGAATGAGACATTGCTGATGAGTTTTTCAACTTTTTTTGTTGATGCGTTGAGCACCACAGGCCGAGTGCCATCTAGTTCCATTGTAATGGAGAGTCTGCAGACATCTTTACGGCCGATATCTCCAACACTCGGCAACTCACACCAGAGCAAACTTGATTTATAAATAGCCCTACAGTAAAGAGGAAAAATATACATTTTTGATTTTAAGTTGGACTGTCCCTTTAAGATTTCCCCTTAATTGGGTTGTAATTGAGTTGTACTGGGACAGGTCCTATACATGTACAACAGTTCTAGGCCAAAAGTGCACAAAAGTAAGGGTGTCTACATACTTTTGGCCACATAGTTTATGGTAAATGGAGAAAAAGAAAGTGAGGTGATGAATGTGTCAGACATTAACGCTGGTCCTTTACAATAAATGTAAATCATTTTTATGTCACTTTTGCATTGAGTCAGACCTCACGTGAGATTAAAGCACGAGACAGGGAGAGAGGGAGAGACAGAGAGAGGGAGGGATAGACAGAGAGAGAGAGATAGACAGAGAGAGAGAGAGGAGCAGGTTGTATAGTCTTACTGCAGGAATATCAGGGGTAATAAACCGGAGGGTGGACGTGCCCCCTCTCTTCTCTCCTCTCGCCTCCTCCGCAGTGCACTTGCAGCTGAGCAGCACTCCGGACAGGACGGTCTCCTCCTCCTCCTCCTCTTCTTCTTCTCCTTCTCCTGTGTGTGGTGGTGGTGGTGCTGAGGGGTGCACCAGAGTCGCATCTGACTCCAGTCCAGAGGTCCCGGGCAGACGCGTGATGGTGCGGACTCATTGATAAAAGCCGCCGCCGCTGGAATTAAAATGAGCACTCCCGCTGAGCGGCTCTCCTCCTCCTCCACATAGCGCTGCCTCCTCTGCACAAGATCTGTTGTTGTGTGACTCCAGCAGGCGACGCAGGATGACTACTACCTTATCGCTGGTGATTTTGTGCGCTTTGGTAAGTAGTCTATGCAGAAACAACTGCGTGTTTGCTCTTATATTCTCATTATATTGTTTTCTTTTTACTCTGTGGAGACTGTGGATGAGTTTCAGTCACCTAATGCACTTTGTGACATTATTTTTTTTAACACTGATGTTTAATTTGAGTGAAAATTGTACATGCTATAATATTCCTATAATAGTTTGTAGTGAGTTTTTCTGGACTTCAGACCTCTTCTTGGCTTTTATTATTCCTTTTGTGATGCATGTAATATTTCTATGATATTATAAACAGGGTTTAAGTGTGTATCAGTGCTATTGTGTTTCCCTTAAAGGACCAATGTGCCTATTTTTCTTGTTAAATATGCAGGTGCTGCATTTAGGTAAACAGCTGATCTGCATGTGATATTATTCCCAGGTTAAATTATATCCCCCTCCAGCTCTACACACACACACACACACACACACACACACACACACACACACACATGCCCATACATGCACACTGGCACACGCCTCACTCTGTTTTCATCCAGACAGGAAAAGTTAAGACAGCCTTACTGCTTGGATTAGTAGATTTCACATTGGGCAGCATTCAGACATCCAGGAGCAATCTGCTGACAGGCGGCTCTGCCCCAGACTTTAATAGCATTAATGAGAGGAAGTCATTTAGATTTTTTTTTTTTTTTAATTTTGGGATATCAGAATAAGGAGAGATAAAGATGCCGCAGCTTACAGAAAGGAAATTGATTCTTTTAATCGTTATCCGACATGAGCTGGTAATTGTTTGGCTGATTTTGACATTAAAACATGAGGCTGTTGTGATAATGTGAAAAAGTTGATTATGAGAGGGAGGTGGCGATACAGCACAGAGCAGAGAGGGCACATCCTCCCAGCACTCCGGTATGTCCACAGCAGCTGGTCTAATTGGGCTGTGCAGCTCAGTCATCATGTGAACAGCCCTGGATATGAGGGGGACACTCTGTTATGACAGCTGGTTTAAAGGGTGGCGACGGTCGGGTGCACTTTGGTAGAATTAAATTTAGAAATAAACTCTCAAATTGACCATGAAATTGAGGAGAGTACAAACCAAGCATATCGCAGCTGGGTCACTGTATTGTTGTGGGCGTGTGTGTATGCATGTTCCTGCTGCTGGTGAACCAATTTCCCGCTGATTTTGCCATTAATCTGCGTTTGAGCTGAGTGATAGTCCAGGGAGATGTCACAGGAAAGGGAGCTGGCGCAGCAGTCAGGGACATGAATCCTGCTCTGCAGATTCAAGAGGGAACTCTCTTGAGGTTTTGGACAACGTCCAGAGTTCATTTTTGCAGACAAAAACGTGACTTTAATCCTGATGATTTACTTAGGTAAAAACTGAGCTTGTGCAGAAATGTTGAGTTTGTTAAGTCAGGAGGAGAAATGCACCTTGAGAGGAAAAAGTGGGGATGAGAGAGAGAGAAGGAAATGTTGAGCAAGAGCACTGAGAACGACAGAGAGCTGCTGGCTGCTCAGTACATCTGTTTCTGAATGAAAGCAGGGACAGCAGAGAGAGGATGGAGGGGAGGGACGAATGAGGGTGAGGGAGAGAGAGAAAAGATTGAAATGATGTCTCAGCAAATGTGAATTAAGTGGAAATGAGCTTTCGCTCGTTACATAATAAGAGCCACAGGACATGAAAGTGTCTCAGTATAATGATTTTCTTTGTTCTAAAACGTCTGGATATGAATTCCTTTTATTTAACATTGTTGCGTACACACCAGCGGAACAAGCCTCAGTTCTTTTGCCAGCAGAGCTGCGTGGCATTTGTATCAGAGAGAGAGAGAGACCGAGGAAATGCAACAAGAGAGGAGGCAGAGAAAGAAGGTGATAACTGGAGTAGACTAGACAGGATGGAGAAATTTAAACCATGGATGCAAATACTCGTGGGCCAGGAGGAGAGAGAGATAGCAAATGTGTGTGTATTTCCAGAGCAGTGACAGCACGCTACAGGTATTTAAGCTGATAAAATGTGTATCTGTGATATGCAAATTAGGACACAGTTATAAAAAAGACTCGTTATGTAATGCGAAAACAACTTTATCACCTCAGCTGTGAATCCAGTGAGAGTGGAGGTTTGCTTTACAGGAAAAAAAGTGTGTATGTGAACAAAAATGTGTGGACACAGTCACATTATGGGGACTTGTCTCCCATGTGGCCCCTGCAAAGTAAACCATTTAATTGCACTATTAAGACTTGGTAGGTTAGGGTGAGTCAACCAATGCCCTCCTAAGTGACAAAAACTTTGTCCCTTAAGTGAGGACCAATTTAAGTTTCAGACCCTCAAGATATTTTTGCAAAGTTAGGACATTCTTACTTCGTTAAGGAACTGTCAGGGAATTACTTTTTCTTTCAGCAGTTAGACTCAGTCTAAGGGCTGGATTTAAGCATGCAGTTGTGATGGTTACAGTTAGGTGTTAGGTGGTAGGGAAGGCATTATACCCATTAAAAAGTCCTCACAAGTATAAAAGCACAAACATGTGTGTATGCCAGCGCTGATCGGAAGCAGGGGCTGGCGTTCACAGCCACTCTCACCTTCAGACAGTAATTAGGATGGGCATGTGTATAATGTCGTGCACACATGATTTTATGGTAACTGCCTGGGCCGCAGCGTGTCATGAGTTCACTATTAGAGCTGATGTGCCTTCAGGGGAGCTATTAGGGCAGTTTAGACTTGTTTAAAGTGTGTCTAATACAGGTGGAGACAACATGATTTATGATGAATCCTGATAGCGTTTGGATTCAAAGAACAGGTCGGACACCTGGCAGCGATTTGCATCAATTTGTTTTTTTGCTGTGTATGTTTAAGTCACAGTGGCCCTGTGCCGTGTCTGTTTGGATATGTGTGTGAAAGTGCCTCTCTGATGTGCTGCACTGATGTCCCAGGTGGCGTTAGCGTTGGCGTCGAAAACAGAGCGGGCAGTGCAGCTCCCCTGTGAATCCGGCCAGTACACTACCAGTGGAGAATGCTGCCTGGTGTGTCCACCTGGAGAGGGAGTGGTGAAGAAATGCGGCGCCACGCAGACTGTCTGCGCACAGTGTTTGGACAGTGAGTGGAGATTTTTTTTTATTAAGGTTGAGAGTTGAATATTAAGACTGCCAACTACTGTATGTTCTGATAAAAAAAAAAAAAACAACACACTGATGCTATTTTCTGATAAAGCATACAGAGCTCATAGGATGTAACAAAGGGTTCATAATGCTTTACAAATCAGTTATAAGCCATTAATACCAACAACTTCTGGGTTGCCAGGTTGTGAAAAATGCCTTAAGCTCTCTGGACCACAATCCATGTATTAAAGATATACTGACATTTACAACTACAGACCTGACAAAATATGGTACCAAATCATAATAGATGTCTTATAACTTGTAACTCTAGATTTTAATTCAAATAGAAGAATCAAACAGACATCAGCCAAAAGGATTTCTTCCAGCAACCAAAAAGTTAATTCATTATTTATTAATGGGTTATTACTAATCTATGACTAGAGAAGTGCACCCAGTAGAGTGCAGATCTCCACCAGGTGGCCGCCTGAGCTGATCACAGCCATTCTACACAGTTGTATTCCACCAGATGCGCTGCAATGCATTTCAGAAGCATTGTCTATATTTGATTGAGCCACAACACATGGCACAGACTAGGTTGAGTTCTTCTGCTGACAATTACTGGCCACAGGGGATCCATTTGATCAATTTCATCATCTGATCCATTCAATACTGGACTTTTGCCAATATTAATTTTGTCCATGGCAGGGTTTTTTTCCGCAAAATGATGCTTTTAAAAAGGTACTGGTCCCTGAACGGTGCCTGACAAGGGAAAAAAAAAAAAAAAAAGAGCAAAATACTGAAAAAATTGAAGCCTAACCCAAAAACAGTAATTTCATTCTTTTTCTCATTTTCTGTAACCCCCTTATCCTGTTGTGGGTTGTGGGGGGTCTGGATCCTATCCGAGATAGGCTCCATTGGGCTCCACTGGACCTCTCACTGGCCGAGAGGCAGGGTACACCCTGGACAGGTCACCAGACTATCACAGGACTGACACATAGAGACAGACAACCATTCACACTCACATTCACACCTACGGGTAATTTAGAGTCACCGATTAACCTGCATGTCTTTGGACTGTGGGAGGAAGCCGGAGCACCCAGAGAAAACCCACGTTGACATGGGGAGAACACACAAATTCAGACAGACAGACACACACACACACACACACACACACACACACACACACAAACACAGCCCTCCAGACGTACACCTGCCAGAGATAATTATAGTAATTTACTTTTTAAATATTAACAAAGCTATTAGTTATAACACAGATGTTATTTAATTTTCACACTCACAATGCCACTCTAAAGTTTCTTTTGCAAAAAAAAAAAAAATGTCCCCCCTTGGCAAATCATAAAATGTCATTGTCAGTGAGTTACTTTTTCTCCCTAAAGTTAATGAAACAAAGTCAGCTTCATTCATTAAAATCCTAGAAACAACTTTATTTACTTTGGTAAAATTATCTCAAGTGAAAAAACATTAACAGAAGTTAAACATTACAATCTTTTCCTGATTAGAAAAGTAGTACCAACACATTCCCTCACGTTCCTACCATCACTTGTCACTTTAGTGTTCAGAGGTTTTGAGATTTCTTCCTTTGCAATTTGTGCTTTCATTCCCGTTTGTGGCAGCAACACAAAGTCTTTTCCACAAACAATGTCCACAGACCTCACTGTCAACATATTTTCATCTTTGGTACAATGTGGTTCCAATTAAATCTGCTCACAGACAGGTCAAAATAACTCTTATTTTTGTTGTTTTGGGTGAGTTAACCCTTTAATAGATTGAAGAACTTTTAGCAGCAAAATATTTAAACATGACTTTACAGAAACTCCACTTCCTGTGTCAAACATAAGTGGATTACAGCCAATCTGGAGACAATAAAAATACAGTGTATACAGATGTAAACTGCATGTCATCACCAGCATAACACACGCTCACACCCAATTAATGCAAAGTTTCTGCACTTGCATCATCTTTATTTATACATCCACATTCATTCTCTGTGCTTTTAATGGCAGCTCCGGCCCTGAACTTCAAACACAACAAATGTAAAGCCAAAACAAATTCCTATTGTCCAATTTACTCACTTGTATGAAGTGTCTGTTTTGCCTTTATCGAGTGTCCTGAGAAATAAGACAGGAATTCACATGTTTGATGCTTGTTAAGTGGGTCCAAATGTGTTCGCTCGCAGCTCGGCTCAGGCTGTGAACCATTAGCAGTGGCTCTACAGACCAGAGCTGGGAGAGGTGCCAACACTGCAAAATCTCAGAGAAGAAGAAGAAGAAGAAGAAGAAGAAGAAAACGTGTTATGTTTGAGTCAAGCGTCTTTCTGCATCACGTTCCTGCAGCTCTTTCTGCCCTTAAAGATGTTGGCGTTATGTCAAGAGTGGAGTATAGGTCACGAACATCGCCGCGTAGTTCAGGAGGAGCTGAAGAAGTGTGACAAGATAAATGTCGCACCTTTTCTTAGGACGTGCTAATTGTATCAGTTTGAGACTTTAAGGTGACAAAATGTGTCTTGTTTACACGTTCAGAGTGCACGCTCTGTTCAACATTGACTGATTGCATTAACCCACTCGCACATGCCACATGTAAACACTGACAAATGGTGCATGTAAACAGTCTTTTAACACTAAAACACAATAATATCAACTGGATGTCACGTTGAGGGAAATGACTAAATTCTGGAGGAATGTTTGCAGGCTGGCAGGAATGCTCTTTGTCCTTACAAAATCCGACACTCTGATCATCCTTGAACTTGTGAACTTCTTTGCACAACAGATGCAAATCTCTGCGTTGTGTTATAGTTTTAAGAATCTGACGCCTGGCTGATTTCACCCCTTTGAATTTTTTATTCGTCGCCTTGAGCGACTCAAGAGCTTCAGCAATGGGTTCAGGGGAAGAAAGCCAATTCTGTACATCTAGAGCGCGACAGTGCCACCGGGGCAAAGACAAAAAAAAAATACTGTGAGTCAGTTTCACATAAACCAACTCCTTCAAACATAGTCAGTGTTAGAAAAGGTAGCGGTGTGAAATAGGCAAAAGTGGGGTTTTGTGCAACAATATGAGAGAATAAGAAAGTGGACTTCTCATGCTTCTGCATCGGTGTTGTTAAAAATCCAGTCACACCAGTCGATGGAGAATGGGCAGGGTAATTAATAGTCATCATCAAACATTGCGTCTGATAGACTGGAGCAGGAAATTGGTTGAGTAGAGGTGCCTGGATTCTGTAGAGAAACACGTCTCAGCCCCACAAGGGTCTGGACTTTATCTTTGGTTTGACGTCAGGAGGAGTTTGTCTTGCGCGTCATATTCCTTTTCATATTCCTGCTGTAAACAGTGGCAGACGATGCATAGACGCTAAACCGCAGCTCCATTTTCCTATGATGTGGGCTGGCCCTCAGGACTGTAGTTCTGATAAGGTTTTTTTCCCTCATGCGCTCCCTCATCCCCCCCACCCCTCCACACCAGCGAATCCCACCAACTCGAGTCGTGTCTCCTCTTTTCTCCATCCTGTACTCACTTCTCTCAGCCAGCATCCCCCCCTCCTCCTCCTCCCTGTTGCTATGACTCATCGTCTGTATTAGCGGATAAAATGGTATTAGAGAGCCAGGCACCAAAGGGCACGATCTGCTCATTCATCATGCATACTGTTACATCAATGCTTCTTTACTCATTTGATCCAGCTAATTAAACCATATTGGAAAGCCTATTGTGCCTCTAACAGTGAACAATTATCTTGCTCTGCAGTACAGGAGCGGTATTCAACGCTGATAAACACTCAACAATTAAGCTCGAATACCCAGGAGGTTGCACTCAATTTCCGGTGCCAATGCATTTTCATTGGTTTCAATATTGTTTTTGTTTCAGCGGATAAAATCTTAATGTACCTGAGGCCCACAGGAGCACACATGCTAAAACAAGACTGAGTGGGATTTATATGGAAGTTAGAGGCTGAAACACTGACCTTACCTGGAAAACTGCAGCTATGAATACATCTTCTAAAGTGCTGAGATGAATAATTGAGGAGTAAAATTCAACACATCCATTTCCTGTTTAATGGTAAATATGGGTGAATCTTTATTTACCGTGACCCCCCTTAATTCCCCACTTCCTGTGAGAGTAACCCCCCCCCTTTCATGGCCTCCTGATCCCAGCTTGGGACGAGTGCCAGCATCAGCAGCGCTGAAATATTTATCAGTCTCCTCCACTTTTCTCTGCTGTCATGGGAGACAAGACAACCGGCCCTGCCTCACTTTGTGAACCATTCAGAAAAACTTGCCCTGCGAACTGACTGAAGATCAGAGAGACAAAAGGCAGAGCCTCATGAGTCAACGTAGCGTTTAAGGAGAACCTCGCTGGCCGACTGGACTGGGGCTCACTGGGGAATTACAGGAGGAACGAAAGTAGAATCACAGCCTCGTCTGGTGAAGGCTAAAACAGAGCATAAAGAATATCGCTTCCAACATTGTATCATGGGGGATGAAGAAAGGGGAAATGGAGATTCTCCCCTGGCAGGTCCTCTATTGTACTTTCAGAGGAAGCATCATCACTACACGGCATCCTAACAAAACAACAGCTCAACACAGGATACAAGAGCAACTGCTGATTGCTAAATTACAACTTCCCTCCTTTGGTCTCCCAATAATAGCTTCGGTAATATCCTGAAACACCTGTTTCAAATCTAGAAGAAAGCTAAGCGGACCAATGAAGCAGGGCGATAATTACGCACAAAAATGTTTCATGTTCAACAAGACAAATAAAGCTGTCATGCAGATTTTCAAATGATGATGATTTATCTGCAGTCAGCAGAGGGTCAGGAAGGAATCGGTCTCCCTGCTGAAACATGGACCCTGACATGCTGTGGAGTGGCAGAAATGGCCATCCTCACTAAAAGCTTACACCTAAAGTGCTGATTGTGGAGATCATCGGACAGTTTCAAGGCCGTCCAGAGCTACATTATTGATGACACTAATGGGGCCAAAACACATC